CTCTGCCTGGTGCCTAGGAACTTGGGCTGCAGGAGGATACCCACTACCCTAACTGATAAACATGGTTTCCTTTAGGTAAACTGTTTATGTAAAGAATATGGTGATGCTAGTCACCTTCTTCCCTTCTAGGAGTCTGGAAGTTAGTATGTGCTAGACTGAGGGTGCCTATGTGACCAGGTCCCCTATAAAATCACAGAGTCTCTGATGAGTTTCCCTGACAGACAACATGCCACCTGTATATTGTGACAACTCACTGCAAGTGATCTAAGCACATTCTGTGAGACTCCACAGGGAAACGACCCTGAACCATACTCCATAGGCCTTTTCCCTTTGCAGCTTTGCTCCACATCCTTTTACCGCAATAAACCATATTAACAAGCTAACTGTACTGGTTAATCATCAAGATTGCGTGTGGTCTTGGCAACCTCAACACGGGGTGGGAGGAGAAAGGAAAGAAAAGGATCAGTCAGGACAGGGAAGTGAGGTCATGGAAGTCAACGGATGACTAAATTCCAGTAAGAGGACATCTGAGAATATCTTTAACATGGAAAAAGCTAAGGAAGAATCAAAGAAATAAAAATCATGAGATATGACCCAGTGATTCCACTTTTATAGATTTATCCTACAAATTACTAGCACATGTGCACTAATGTGTTTATACAAAGATGCCAACCACCAGTACACAGCACTGGATACATCAACAAATAGGCCTGTAACAGAGGATTGGTTAAATACTTACAGTACTTACTTACATACTTACACAATGGACTAATTATGTAGCTATTAACATGAGGGGGTGGGCATTTGGTCCAGGAGTTAGACACTGGTCGAGATGCCCATGACCCCTATCAGAGTGGCTTTGGGAAGCAATGGCAAGGACTCAAGTAAATTGGGCTCCTGAACTGAGTTTCAGACTCCCAGTGTTAGCGCTCTGGCCCAGCCCAAACATGGAATCAGGACTGTCGCAGGCATTTGGGGAGAGTAGACCAGCAGATGGGACCCTGCATTATCTCTCTTTCTCTCCCTTTCTGTTTTTCTCTGCCTCTCAAATAAACATACATGTTTTCAAACATAAAATCAGTGAGGAAGTTCTAAATGAACTGACATCTCCAAAATATGTTAGAAGCTGGCACAAAACAGTATAAATGGGAAGAATGATACATGCAGGGAAAGAACAGGATATATAAAGGATATGTGCAACACACACACTTTGGGATAGTCACAATGTATCTCAGGAAATATACAAAAACCTGGTAAAACACCATTGCCTCTGGCGGGGAGAATCGAGCACTGGAATAGAAGGAAAATTTAAGTTTCACTGAAACCTTTAAATATTGTTTCCAGTCCAAAAAGTGATTGACACATTATCTTTAGATTTTTTTAAAATAAGAGTTAAAAAAAGAAAAAGTAGGTCTTGACATAACTATGGTTTTAAGTTGTGAAGACAGATCATCTTCAAACTATTGGGTGCGTGGTAACGCGGGAGGTGGTAAAAGCTATTTGGCTCGAGACAGCAATGGACAACCACAAAATTGGGAAGATGCTTCGGGAAGTGAGATGCCGTGTCAGCTCTGCACTCCCAGTCTGGAGGGACTGGCAAGGCATGGAGAGGGCTGGGGACCCACAGCAGGTGAAGGGCAGAACATGGTGAAAAGATCTAAAAGGGATCCGTAACGACAGCAAAGACATCAGAAAAGAAGTTAGAGTTTTCTAGCAAACGGCAAGAAATTAAGAGAGCCAAGAATTGGAGGGCAGATGAAGAAATGGTAGACAGCAGAAATGAACTCTGCCTCAGCAAGGCTGTCAGCAACAGGAGGAGAACCAAAGGCGGGAAGGGACCCCAGGGGTTCCAAAAGGGACTCTCTTGGTTTGTGTCTTAAGATTAAGCTGTAAGGGGCCGGCGCCGCGGCTCATTAGGCTAATCCTCCACCTGCAGCGCCAGCACTCTGGGTTCCAGTCCTGGTTGGGGCACCAGATTCTGTCCCATTTGCTCCTCTTCCAGTCCAGCTCTCTGCTGTGGCCTGGGAGTGCAGGGGAGGATGGCCCAAGTCCTTGGGCCCTGCACCCGCATGGGAGACCAGGAGGGAGCACCTGGCTCCTGGCTTCAGATTGGCGCAGCGCGCCAGCCATAGAAGCCATTTTGGGGGTGAACCAACAGAAGAAAGACCTTTCTCTCTATCTAACTCTGCCTGTCAAAAAAAAAAAAAAAAAAGAAAAAAAAAAAGAAGATTAAGCTGTAAGGTAGAAAGAGGTACTCAGTAGACTAAGAAGAAAGGAGAGGGGCCCGGCAGGAGTGGGTTAACACCCTGAAGCATCCCGTATGGGCACCGGTTTGAGACCTGCTGCTCCACTTCCAATCCAGCTCTCTGCTGTGGCCTGGGAAAGCAGTAGAAGATGGTCCAACTCCCTGGACCCCTATTCCCATGTGGGCGACCGGAGGAAGCTCCTGGCTCCTGGCTTCAGATCGGCGCAGCTCCAGCCGTTGCAGCCAACTGGGGAGTAAACCATCGGATGGAAGACCTCTCTCTCTCTCTCTCTGCCTCTCCTCTCTCTGTGTAACTCTGGCTTTCAAATAAAACAAATAAATATTAAAAAAAAAAAAAGGAGAAAGGTGGAAGGAGGTCTCTGAAGGAAACCAGAATGAGCAGCTTCTCAGTACCAGGTGAGGTTAATGTTGATTAACTTAGAGAAACAAGCAGTGTTTAATTTCCAAGTAACTTTTTAACCACTTAGTATTGAATCACATCTTAAGAATGCTATAAACAATAAATACCTAGGCAGATAAGGAATTGCAAATACATTCCTCTGACAGCACTTCTTGTAGGATAGTAAAGATACTGTCTTCCAAATCATTCATTGAATTTGTAAGGAAAGCAAACATGAGCCCAATTTTCTTATGTCTTGAAATTCTATCAATTGAACTAGTCAAAAGAAATACCAAATAAGAAAAAAAAAAAAGGCCTAGTTACAACATTTATCTTTTCCAAGAAGAGTTAATATGGGCAACATTGTCTGTAACCAATTTGAGTCAATCAAAATTTTAGAAGCAATATTAAAAGATGATACAGTTCCATCTTCATATCACCTAATGAAAAATACAGCAGACACTCAATAAGCACTTTTTGGTTGACTGAACTGATTGTTAAGAAAATAAAAATAGCCATTATGCAAGAAAAAGAGTTTTAGTAGTCTGAAAAATTTCCCAACTGATTCATTAAAGTTTTAATAACAGTGAAATTTAAAAACAGTGATTTTTTTTTACTGTTCAGTTCAGCCTTTCTACTTCTATCCTTTTGTACCCTTTTGTGAGAACTGACTGTAAAACAGAGAAACTCAAAAATAAATAATTCATTGGCTGGCGCCACGGCTCACTAGGCTAATCCTCTGCCTGCAGCACCAGCACCCTGGGTTCTAGTCCCGGTTGGGGTGCCGGTTCTGTCCCAGTTGCCCCTCTTCCAGTCCAGCTCTCTGCTGTGGCCCAGGAGTGCAGTGGAGGATGGCCCAAGTGCTTGGGCCCTGCACCTGCATGGGAGACCAGGAGAAGCACCTGGCTCCTGGCTTCAAATTGGTGCAGCACGCCAGCCGTAGTGGCCACTTGGGGGTGGTGAATCAATGAAAAAAGGAAGACCTTTCTCTCTGTCTCTCTCTCACTGTCTAACTCTGCCTGTCAAAAAAATAAATGAATCACTCATAAATAATTTCCAAGAACATTTCTCTTGGAAGACATTATCCTGAACTATCCCCACAACAGCAGTCAGGCCACACTAGAGGCTCTCAGGCAGTACTCATCTCTGGACCCCTTCCTGGAGAAAAGTTTCTCTTTTTGTTCCAACTCTATGGTTGATATAGCTGATCCCAGGAATTACAGAAAGCCTATCAGTATGCCAGAATCAAGATATACAGGGATTTGGGGGCTGGTGCTATGGTGCAGCAGATAAAGCCACTGCCTGCAGTGCCGGCATCCCTTATGGGCGCTGGTTTGATTCCCAGCTGCTCCACTTCCGATCCAGCTCCCTGCTGTGGCCTGGGAAAGTGATCTAAGATGGCCCAAGTCCGTGGGCCCCTGCACCCCCGTGGGAGATCTCGAAGAAGCCCCTGGCTTCTGATCGGCCCAGTTCCAGCCATTGGGGCCATCTGGAGAATGAACCAGTGGATGGAAAAAATGTCCACCCTTACTCCCCACCCCGCCTCCACCTCTCTGTAACTCTGCCTTTCAAATAAATAAATCTTTTTTAAAATAATATATACAGGGATTTTAATCTATAAGATTATTCTTAAATAACATTGAAATAAAGCATCTTGTGTGTGTGAAGGGCAAAAGCGAACGCATAACCCATAACCCATCCAGCTTGAGCCAAGTACACACCTCAGCCCCTCTTAGCATCAGCCTGTTTTTGGTTTTGTTTTCCGATCTTTGCAGGAAGTCAGTCCACAACTACCCCCACAAAAGCATTTTAAGTGTTTCACTGGCTTCAGATTCTGTGACACTTCCTTTTTCAACCTACTACTGCTGAAGGGTCTTCTGAAACCGAGCTTTTGCTTGATCCAGTTTTTGCACTTTATTCTTGCACAATGACGTTCATACTTAGGGGGAAAACAACTGCAGCTACAAAATAAACAACAAAAGCCTGAGTCCATGCACTTTAATCGGCGCTTGCTTTGAGGCCTCTCACCCTGTATATTGGCCAATGACTTCCTAGGGGGGTTGTTGAGAAAGCAAGTGTCCAAATTCATGATTCAGCTGCAGGTAAGTGGAGACTAGATACTGCTGAAGACTCTCACCACCACCTGGCACTATAGCAAGCTTTTTATTGCCCAGATGTTCATTACAAATTTTCAGCAACTACAGTCATTCAGGGGCTGTTGGACCAGCATGGACTGGACAAGACCCTTACTTCTCCTTCTCCTTCTCCTCGCCACTGAATACTGACATTACTGTTCAGTTGGATTTGCTATCAATCGTCCCAGCAGTAAAGAGTGAGTTTACAGAAATCAGTTACCGGGTTATAGATGACATTCTGTAGGTTGTTTAAGGACAACATCGTTCTTCTTCGACCTGTTGATTTTGTTGATTGCAGTCTTCTGTGTATGAACTAAGATGGCAAGCAAATTTCACTTAAAGGTCACCCAGACTGAAACTGAGGCACTTGCCCTATGTAAAAATAAAAATGCAGGGAAATAAAAATAAGCATGTATTTTTTCATATCGTAACTATTTATAAATGTAATGTTATTTTACTGATATTTGCCAAAGAGTAAGATGTTATTACATTCAAAGAACTGAACCCATTCTTACTAGTACACTTAAATACTAAATAATTTGAGTATAAGCACAAAAAAATTTTGGTAAATATCAGTAGAAAACTTTTAACATGGAATTTATTATTAAAAATTCTGCAAACAATATAATGGTAAATACAACCATCAGAGGTACTCATTTTTTTTTCTTGTCCATAAAATGGGAATAATATTCATACTGAAGATGAAATGAGTTAACAAAACCGCAGAACAGCATGTGCTGTGTGTGAGTTATTACTATGAGTAGAAGGAACATTCTTTCTACTCCAAACTAAACAAGTCATAAGGAGGGATAAAAAAGAACAACCCTTTGAATACAAAGAAGATCCAGTTTTTTTCTGTTGTGAAAAAAGTGTGTGGGGACATTTGCCATATCTTTAAAGACAACTGTGCTCATTAGCACTACATTCATTATCTTCACGGAAGAGTAGATGGTTATAAACAGAACGAAAGGAGAAACGAAACTAACTTCCTAGCTCTCACTTGCAGCTATTGTCATTATTGCGATACAGTAACAGGACAATACCCATTGCCCAAACCTTTTTTTTTTTTTTTTTAATCTGCATCTGTCTGGGTTTACCCACGCACGATAGTCAAAACCCCGAAAACTTTCATTCAGCTCCGTGAAACTCAGGAAGCACGGAGAGCAGAAAGGATGGATACAGTCACCAGAGCCACATACATAATTCACATAATCAGAGAGTGGCAAAATTTAAGCCGCAGGCTTGCATTAGACCCGTCGTTCCTCCCGAAATAATCACAAGGCCACAGATCCTGCTATCACACACAATTCCTCTGCTTCACGACAAGCCACAGACGATCAGAGGCAGAGGACTCGCGGGTTGACCGTTCACCACGGCGGTCCAGTGACTCGGCATCTTAAAAGACCGACCGAATTCACGGAGCCGAGGGGGCCGCGGGGAGCAACGCGGGTCTGACTCCAAACTGTTCAAGGACCGGTCATCCAGAACACGGGGAAGGAAGCTCCCCGGCTTCCTTCTCTCGGAGGTGGCGCTCGGCCTGGGGCTGGCAGGGAGCAGGTGAGACAGCAGCCTAGGTACAGCAGGTTTGAGGCAGGCGACAGCCGATGCACACAGCCCGCTCCCAGCCAGGGCTGCCAGGAAGAACCGGGGCTCCCTATAACCCCCTCGCTCGCTCCCCGCCAGCCAGCCCCGGCTCCGCCGCGGTGAGGATCCGGCGACAGGGTGGACCGGACCCTGTCCCGCTTATCAGACTGCTTTAGGGACAGCGACGAATTCCTCCTCGGCTGAAGCGACCACCGCGGCAGCCACACCCCCTGGCGACTGTCACCCCCCAGAGGCGGACGGACTCCCGACTTACCCAGGACTGGTGGTGGTGTAGGCGCTCCACGTAGCCGACAGTTTGTCCGCCGCAGGGTGCCGTCGGGATTCCCAGCTCCCGGAGGCCCAGGGCTACGGGCAGTGAGAGGAGTCAATCCACATACATTTCTCGTTTCGCCTTCCTTGATCCCTGTTGTCAGCCCAGTGTCCGGGTCCCGGGTGTCCTCCCCAACTCTGAGGACTTCTGGCTGGGAGCTCGGCCTCCTGCACAGCTTCTGGGAACTTGAATGGTGACAGGCTTGCTGTGGAAGGAGCAGAAAGGAACTAGGAAGAAGGATTTGTCTTTAGCAACTTCCTGAGTGCATCTGGCTTCCTCTGGGAGGGAAGTGGGAAGGTAGGAGGGCTACTTTTGAATGGCTGACTGCTTAGTGTTTTATATAAGGGATCTCTATATTTAGTCTCTTCTTGGCTTCTAACCACCTGTGTTTTCAAAGACATAGTGTTACAATGAGCTTCCTCCTTTTGTTGTTAATATTTTTAAATTTAAGGTGAAGAATTCATTGCAAGTCCCAGAGCAGCAACTCATATTCTGGTTCACCAGTGTTTTCTTACTTCCTATCCATTTTCCACTTCTGATTCATTCCTCAAGATCCAACTTAAATAGTTTAACTCTAGATATGCATTGCATTACCTCAGATTTGCTACCTGTGAGGTGTGAGTTTTATCCATCCAACTTGATTGTACATTGAGCAAAGAAGCTTGTCTTATACATTCTCCAGTGCCCTGTGTGATGCTTTATTTGAAATGTACACCAAAAAATTAGGTTGAAATGTTAGGTAATTGGTAAGTGAGGAGCAATTGAGTGTCCTGACAATTTTGCCTGGGTTTGTCTAGTACTTCTTTGCAAGGTCAAAATAAGTTAAATACAAATCATTGCTGTTTCTTTATTAAGCTAAGTGGTGTTTAGGTATAAATGGGACTGAGTCAAAGTGCCAGAAACCCAGTATTAGCAAAGTATTTCTGGTTTTAATCACACATAAATGCTAAGAACCTATTCCTAGAAATACCTTCCTCATTTGTCACTTTGTGCAGTGAGCCTAGTGTGTTTTCATTTAAGACACACAAGCACATATTGAATGTGCTGACAAGGCACGGTGATAAGGAATACATAAAGACATCCCGGGACTTTCTAGATGGAAAGCTCCACATCTTACTAGATTACCAAAATAGTTTCCTAATTGATCTTCCTGGTTTTGTACTTGCTCTGCTGAAATCTACTCTGAATACAATGGCTACAGAGAGGATGATCACCACAAAATGTAGTTCAGACAATGTTAACCCTCTCCTAGGACTTTCTACTAACTTATGCTCATCCTTTGAGTAAAGGTGAGTCTTTACAGGAGCACTTCACAATACACCCTTCATCCCCACATACCGCAACTTCCTTTTCTGCTTCCTCTTCACTCTGAAGCAACCACACTGCCCCACAGCTATCCCCACAGCATGCTTGTCACACTCCCACCTCAGAACCTCGGTGCTCCACGCTTCCTTTGGTTCTCTTAAATCTACTCAAACGTCATTCTCAGAGACCCTTTCTGATCTCACGGTACTTAAAATTGTAAACACCCCAACACATACACATAATCCCTATCACTTGTTTATTTTTATCATATGTACCATTTTCTAATATGCTTTTTAATTTATATTTTTATTGTATTTGACTTCACTTATCAGACTCTTCCAGGGCAAAGACTGATTGTTCTTGCTTCAATGGAGCAGTATTACTAAATTCTAGTTGGGGACACAGATAGAGATGTATTGGAGAAAATTAAAATTTGATGATGTAATTGGCAGTGCCTGGGTGGCTCCTTTGGTTGGGTACCAAGGAAAGCGTCTTACAGGAGGTCGAGTTTAAGCTGCTGGGGAGTGAAGGGAAAGCAGCACCCATATGAATGTTACTGGAGAGAGCATTACAGCCTAAAGGAACAGCTCATACCAAGTCCCTATGGCTCTTGAGGATGAGAGTGCATGATCAGGAACCAAGGGCCACCAGCATGGTTAAAGCTTAACTGAGGGGCTGGCATTGTGGCATAGTAGATAAAGCTGCCTACGATGCCAGCACCTCATATGGGTGCTGGTTTGAGTCTTAGCTGCTCCACTTCCAATCTAACTCCCTGCTAACGACCTGGGAAAAGCGGTGAAAGATGGCTCAAGTGTTTGGGCCCTGCACTCATGACCTCAAAGAAGCTTCTAGTTTCCACCTGGCCCAGCCCTGGCTGTTGCAGCCATCTGGGGAGTCAGTCAGTACAAAGAAGATCTCTCAGCCTCTCCCTCTTTCTCTGTAACTCTGCCTTTCGAATAAATAAGTCTTTAAAAAAAAAAGCGTAATAGATGGGAGGATGTGAAATCATCGAAGTGGATGAGATCACTTAGAAGTGTAGCTAAATGGAGAAGATGACCTAGGACAGAGCTCTGGGGAGATAAGAAAGTCAACAAAATAATCCAAGAGGGGCGAGCCCTGGAAGTCTGCCTGAAGTGGTATCAGAAGCTCAGGAAAGAGCATCATGCAGTTGTGCCAGATGCACTGAGACATCCAGGAAGGTAGAAGTGAGCAATCAGTTCAGCAACCTGGAGATTATCAGTGACTGATGCTGAAGTGGGTGGAGAAATGTAAGCGAAGAAGTGGTGGGTATAGTGGCTAAGGATTTCCAAGTTTTTAATGTGAAGAGAGAGAGAAACTATTGTAGCCGAGCAAACGGTGGGGTAAAGGGGAGATCTTGTATTTAAAACAGAGAAGGTACTACAGTGGTGGCCTTTAGACTTGTTTCAAATGACCCACAGTAAGAACTACATTTACAATGTGACTTTTCACATACATAAACTCAAACAAAAATTTCACAAAACAATACTCTTGCTGTGTGTGAAGCCATGTTTTTCACTTTAAATATAATCCACTGGGGCCGGCGCTGTGGCACGCTGGGTTAACGCCCTGGCCTGAAGTGCTGGCATCCCATATAGGCACCAGTTCTAGTCCCGGCTGCTCCTCTTCCAATCCAGCTCTCTGCTGTGGCCTGGGAAAGCAGTAGAAGATGGCCCAAGTCCTTGGGCCCCTGCACCCACGTGGAAGACTCAGAAAAAGCTTCTGGCTCCTGGCTTCAGATCAGCACAGCTCCGGCCGTTGCGGCCATCTGGGGAGTGAACCATCGGACAGAAGACCTCTCTCTCTCTGCACCTCTGACTTTCAAATAAATAAATCTTAAAAAAAAATATAATCCACTAAAATACTTCCAAGATTCACTAATGAATATGACCCAAAGTTTGAAAATACTTCCGGTGATATGGTTGGAGTTAGGTTATGCTGGGTTCAAAGACAGTTTTGTACACCTCTTCCATATTGATCTCTTAAAATAGGCCAGGATGAGGTTATTTACACAATGCAAATAGACAACTGCTACAACCTTGGTCTCCACCCCACCCTGCCCCCAAAAGCCAGATGTTGAAATATTCAGCAACACACTGATTGTACTTAGGTGAGCAAGCCAGTGCAGAGGAGAGACTGACGGTACGGGACAGAAGGGATGGTTACAGGAGCAATCTTGAGATAATTTTTCCCAGTGGGGGGAAAAAATAAAAGTTGTGAATACCGGTTCAAGACATCATAAATGTTGCACATTATGTCACATAATTACCTTAGTGTCCCCAAAACAAAAGGTTCCTGTCTGGTTAGATCAGTTCTTTTTAATCTATCCATCTCTTCACTTACGGAGAGGCCACATTTATATAATAAAATGGGGCCACAAGTTTAGAAATAATGATATAAAAATGTCTTATAAGCAAAAATATGAAATGCTATAGATTGCCCAGATATTTTCAAAAGCTACCAAAAATCACATGATGAATAAGCTATGCCCTCGCTGTTACCAGGATTATTTGAGCAAAGAAAAATACTTTCTATATTTTGCCAGTGACATGAACCATATTGTTTTAAACTAACAAACATTCAGGCAGTGATTTTGATTATTATTATTTTGCTGTATTTTGTTGTTCCATAATTTCTGTAAATGTTTTGACGCTCTGGGGACAGCATTGTGATACAGCAGGTTTAGCTGCTGCCTACAATGCCAGTGTCCCATATGAGCACCCAGTCAAGTCCCGGCTGCTCCACTTCCAACCCAGTTCCCTGCTAATGTGCCTGGGATAGCAATGGAAGATGACCTGAGTGCTTAGGCCTCTGTACCCATAAGGGAGACCCAGCTAAGCTCCTGGCTACAGCCTAACTCAGCCCAGGTCATTGCAGCCATTTGGTAAGTAAACCAGTGGATAGAAGATCTATCTCTGTTTCTCCTTCTCTGTCTGTTAACTCTGCCTTTCAGATAAATAAATAAATCTTTAAAAAGTACGTTTTGACCTTAGAAGCATTCATTAAATAGTGGGAAAATATGCTCCAGGGCCATTAATTTGAGACACAAGTTAGATATGATCAAACACTGTAAACGGCTGCACAACAGCCTTAATTCACACCGAATTTAGAAGCCAGAACTCCAGAATCTGTGACAAATACAAAGCATCACTAAAGCAAAAATGTGCCACAATCGTTCAAGATCTATGAGTGTTGAAAATAAACCCTGCTGCTTTAGCTTTGCGCAGTGGCAGTATCGTAGCCAATGAGGTTTATCCGAGGCGCGATTATTGCTAATTGAAAATAAACCCTGCTTCCATTTATTCTCTTGAGAAAATTATCAAATTATGTAAGTTTTAAATTACAAAACTCTTAAATTCCTTACACACATATAGACTCCCTTGAGAAATTTCACAACTTATCATTTATCTCTTCCGATTATCCTCCCTATGCTAAATGGGCTCATTTCTTCTTTGAATCCTTTGACCTAAGCCCTACCACACCCCACAAGCACTATCCACAAACACTCAATACACGTTTTCATCTGCAGACTCACCGTGCACAGATTCACTATGCTTACCTTTTATGTTCTACAAGATCGTGTCCCAAATTCACTCTTTTCAGGTGTGAGAAGCAAGCTTCTAGAACTATGGTATTGTCATAAAATAAAAAGAATCTTCAGGATGGGAGGGATCTTAAGAGGAATATAAAATTAATTCAGTGTCTCAAAGGATAAGATGCTGTCCTATTTTTTAAATATTTCTCGAATGGCTTACAGGCTATAGTGTCTTAGTACTAGAGAATGCTGGGTTATTTGACATGAGAAAAATAAACCTGAATTTATCTAATTTTAAAGGCAAAACGGGCTGGCGTCATGGCTCACTTGGTTAATCCGCCTGCAGCGCTGGCATCCCATATGGGCGCCGGGTTCTAGTCCTGGTTGCTCCTCTTCCAGTCCAGCTCTCTGCTGTGGCCTGAGAAGGCAGTGGAGGATG